GAAAGTGTGCTGTATGTGCATTAACAGAATGAACAGATAAATAAAATGTGAAAAAAATAATAAAATGTGGTGTTTACACAACGGAGCACTATTCTGCCAGAAAGAATAATATACCCGAATGCGCTTGAGACAATAATCCACAGTGAAATGAATCAGGCACACATGCTTAGTGTGTGGTTTCTCTTATATGAGAGACCTAAGTATAAGTAAAGAGCAAGATAAGAGGTAGATCACAGGAGACAGGAACATAGATCTTCCATAAATGGAAAAGAGACCAAGAGTGGGCGGGGGAAGAACGGGATGAAAAAAGAATTATGATGTGTGATGTCCATGTACCAACTCCCCACGAGGAATGTGGTTATTATCTACTACATGTACCAATAAAAACTAAACACTGGGGGCTGGGGATTTAGCTCAGTGGTGCCACAGCCTGCCTCACAAGTGCAAGGTCCTGAGTTCGATCCCTGGTACCAAAAATAAATAAATAAATTTAAATTGGAAAAAAGAGGTTCTATAAAAGTACAGATAAACCAGGTGTGATGGTGCACGCCTGTAATCCCAGCAGTCAGGAGGCTGAGGCAGGAGGATTGCTGTGAGTTCGAAACCAGCATGGGGGCTGGGGATTTAGCTCAGCAATTCGGTCACCTGTCTCACAAGCACAAGGTCCTGAGTTGATCCCCGGTACCAAATCAAAACAAAACAAACAAGACATATATACTTTAGCCAGGTGCGGTGGCGCACACCTGTAATCCCAGGACTTGGGAGGCTGAGGCAGGAGGATCACTGTGAGTTTGAGACCAGCCTGGGATACATAGTGAGTTCCAGGTCAGTCTCTGTGGGAAGCCAGCCATGGCCCACTGGCTTTTTGAAAGACAACATTTGTTCCTTTTTAAGGACTGCACGTGTTAAACTTGTTTTGACCCTGCACGGGAGAAACTCGGACAGCCAAAGATCTGTAGGAGTCAGGTGCTTCCTGTTAAAGATCTGATGTTATCTATAGGAGTCAGGTGTTGTAACTCCATTTTGTTAAGTTCCTCCACCTATTGTGGGAATCATGATTATTAGTTGCAAGTGTTGTTAATTTGTTTTTCTTGAGCCTGCTTTCTCTTGCCCGTGTGAACCCTCGTTCCAATATGTAAGACCTAAAGTCTCACTTCCACTCCACGGAGCGTGAACAGCCGAAAGGCCTCCACGATGCTGGGCCCTAACACCCAGCAAGGTTCTGGGAATATGACAGAGAATTGAGAAACCCAGGAAGGAACATATTAGTCTAGATGGTAAAGAGATCTTTATTAGTTTGGCCAGACGGCACTCCCGGAGCCAGGTGGTTTAGAGAGGCAACTGCTCAGGGGCTGAAGTATTTTTTATAAGGTTTTTTTAAATAAAGAGTCAGGGAATTTATAGAATAAGATTGTAAACACATTGTTTATCTTATGTAGGAAATGATCTAGGGTCACCTTTTGTCAAACCATTTGCCCCTGGGCGGGCTGTTAATCAAGGTAGTAATTAGTATATGAAGAAGCACAGTCTGGCCTATTAGCATGGAGTTATTTTATTCCTGTGGAGCGGGTGTTGAGGTTACTATGGTAATCCTAGCCCATAATAGTTCGGCCTTTTCCTTTAAAAGGCCGGTGCTTGCCGGCAATAAACGTTGCCTTGATCAGACTCTTGTCTTGGCGTTCTTCCTTTCTGTCTGCCCCATCTCCACCCTGCTGCTCTTTCAGGTTTGAGGCACTGCAGGACAGTGCTCTGCGTCGCCGGTTCACGACAAGTCTCAACTACATAGAGAGACCCTGTCTCAAAAAAGCAAAAAAAAAATGAGGACCAAGACCTGTCATGTAAAGGTACAAGATCCCAATGATGACTGTAACTGCACTGTATACCTAAAATGTACCAATAAACTCAATGAGGAAAAAAAAAAGAGTACCCATTTCTGCACCGGATATGCTTTCATTGCTTTATTTCTCTGCATGCGCGCTCTACCACCAAGCTACACCCTCAGACCCTGCAGGTCACCGCCGTGCTGCTTTATCCACAGCCTGTTTTTCTGTGACTTCTCTACCCTTGGTCTTCTCCCCCAGTTCCATCTCCAGGCTTCTCTTCATCCAGGTTCTGTGCATTCCCACTGCCTACAGGTGTGGTGGGTTCAGCAAACCAGGCCGGTGGGAAACCTATTTCTCCAGGTTCGTCTCTTCTTCCATCCATCCTCCTGACATGCCAGCCCTTCCGCTCCTATTCTCGGCCCGGAGTGGCTCTTCTGAGCCCTCTTGCCCTGCAACATGGGTATTGCATCTTTGGCAATTCCATTCGAAACATCCCTCCTCCACCAAGCCTTCGCTGATGCTCAGGTAAGAGTTACCAGGTGTGCGCCAGGTATATTGGTGCGCACGGAGGAAGAGGCTTGTGAGTTTGAGGCCAGCCTGGACAACGCAGCCAGAGCCTGTATCAGAATGAACAAGTGAAAATGCCTGGGGATGTAGCTCAGTGCAAAGGCGCTGGGGACAATCCTCGGTGTCAACAGAAAAAAAGGAGCAGGGGTGGGGATATAGCTCAGTGGTAGGGCACCCCTGGGTTTAATCCCCAGCACTACTCAAAAAAAACAAAAATCCCCAAAAGTTAAAGGTTTTATGGTTATAACACTTCACTCATCTTTTAAATATAGCACACTTGTCATTCACTTGTTTATAAATTTGCCTCCCTAAACTTTGTGATTCTTTGAGGATAAAGGATCTTTTTCTTCACCACTGGGTGGAAATGGGGGACGGAAATTGGGACAGGGATGGAGGAAGTAAGTCCTCAGAGGGTTTCAGGCTGAGAAAAAGTAGGAATGACGTTCTAAGAACTGAAAAGTTTAGGATGAGCAGAGGGCAAAGATCGGAAGAAGGGAGGGTTACATGCTTGGAGAGGCGGGCACGACTGTAACAGGCTTGAGCCGGGGGTCTTGGAGACGCCTGAGGGACGATGGGTAAAGTGGCATCACCAGACTGCTGCGCAGCAACATGGTGCATATATGGAGGGCACTATAGCAGGGAGCCAGTCGAGACTGACAGGGACCTAGGTTTGGGTAGCGGAAATGGGACTGAGATGATACCTACAGGTAAAAGTGAAAAAAAACAAACTCAGAAGTACAGAATTTGGATAAGGGGGTTGAGGAAAAGGGAGGTTTTTCGCTCTTTCCTAATACATTACAGTGTGGCCTCGAGTTGGTCATTGAACCCCTTTGCTTATTTAATCATTTGTGCAACTGCTTTAATAATATCTGACCTGTCAAGCTTTGAAGATTCTCGTGAGAATTGAGTGAGCTAGGTACGGTGGCACATGACTGTGTTCCCAGCTACTTGGGAGGCTGAGGCAGGAGGATTGCAAATTTTCCTGCAGCATACAGTGAACTACATCTAAAGTGGTGACAAACTGCAATACGTTCTCAGAATATTTGCTAAAACTCAGGTAGAAATAGGCAAACATTCACATAATATGCACATCTGTAGAAAAGTATTTCAACTAAAATATGTCAACCTCCACACCTGAAATCACTTTGAAATTACTGATTTATCTGAAAGTTTCTGTGTAAGATTTTTTGAGGATGATATAGGCAGTCATGGCAAACGTATGGCAGAAGTGTTTTTAAGACAAAAGATGTTAATGAATGACATACTTTTTCTAAAAAAACATTTTTTCAGTATTCAAGTTTAATTGCAATGGTGGCACCCTGTGTAAGTGGGTTTTGGGGTGCAGATTGGGCACCCATCTCTAAAAGATTCACCATCGCTGATACAGAGAGTGTCAGTGCCTCAGAAGGTCGGGTAAACTTGAGTTCTCTTTTGTTCAAGAATGAATCCTTTCCACTACCTAAAGGCTGCTCTCCAGTCCCACTGTCCAATGCTTGACTTACATTAAATCTTATTTCAGCATTATCACACAAAGTGAGTTTCTGTACCTTTCCAGGAGCAAGAGAACTTTCTCCAATGATTCTCAGATTGATAAATTTGATTTTCCAAGTATTTTCCATAAAGGGACAGCAGATAAGTCCAAAAATGCCCCCAAAAGTGGTCCCTCCGTGGACAGTCCCTGCAACTACAGTCATAACTAACCCATGGGGAGAAGAAGCACATTTCAGTCCACGGGAATCAAAGCTGGGACTGAGAAAAAGAAACTCTTCTTTACAATTGACAGCAAATGGAGGCCTGCAATTTCTGCTGTGTCTATCACATTTTGTTGTTGTGTAATAAAACCTAAGCTTTGGGCCGGGGATTTAGCTCCGTGGTTCCACCGCCTGCCTTACAAGCCCAAGGACCCCCGGTTCGATCCCCGGTACCAAAACCACCAAACAAAAAACCCAGTAACAACAAAAACACCGTATGGGCAGGGCAAAGTAGTGCACGCCTGTAATTCCAGCACTCGGGAGGCTGAGGCAGAAGGATAGATAGCAATTGGGAGGCCAGTCTGAACCACAAATCAAGACCCTGTCTCAAAATACACAGTATGGGGCCAGGATTTAGCTCAGTGGTTCTGCTGCCTGCCTCACAACCTCAAGGTCCTGAGTTCGATCCCCGGTACCAAAAAACACAGTATAGTACTGGGGAGAGGGGTCCTTAGGAGATTCGCGTGCATCCCCACACAATCCACCACACCAAGTAGTTTCTGATTGAGTAAACCAATAAAAAAGATGGAGGAAGCAGAAGCCAGGAAAGGGAACTGGGGACAACCCGGCGACTCAGTCAAGGTCACGGCCAGAGGTCTGGCCTGCAAGTGGACCTCGCGCGCACCACAAGCGGACCCAGGACTCAGGTCCGCACCCCGTATCTAACTGCCACGGACTCAGCTACTCTTCAGAGCCCAGATTGCAGCCGAACAGGATCCTCCCAGGCTCAGTGGCGTCCAACCGGCGCGGGGAGGTGGCCCTGCAGGCGCCGCACTGCCGCAAGCCAATGAGCACGCACGTCGGGCCCTCTGGCCAATGGGGGCGAGGCGTGGGCACGCTGAGGAAGAGACGTGCGTACCAGACTTTTCCAGAAGACCCGGATAGAACTTCCCGGCCACGCTGAGCCGGGGCAGCGTACCGCACGTCTGTCTCCTTATCTTCCTCAGCTGGGGCAACCATGGCCGCTGTGAAGACCCTGAACCCCAAAGCCGAGGTGGCTCGCGCACAGGCGGCGCTGGCGGTTAACATCAGCGCGGCGCGGGGACTGCAGGACGTGCTGAGGACCAATTTGGGGCCTAAAGGCACCATGAAGATGTAAGGCGGGGCCGGGCAGCGTACCGCACGTCTGTCTCCTTATCTTCCTCAGCTGGGGCAACCATGGCCGCTGTGAAGACCCTGAACCCCAAAGCCGAGGTGGCTCGCGCACAGGCGGCGCTGGCGGTTAACATCAGCGCGGCGCGGGGACTGCAGGACGTGCTGAGGACCAATTTGGGGCCTAAAGGCACCATGAAGATGTAAGGCGGGGCCGGGGGCCG